ACAAATTACAATTTTTCGGTTACAAACAATCTATTTTCCAGAATGTCTGTTCGATGTTTTAAACTACCGTAAAACCTGTATTAGAAGGGTTCCTTTAATAGAAGGGCCCACCCAGAGAGACTCGGAAAAATAGAAAAACCCCTGTAAAAAGGGATTCCCTCTCAAACTGTGTTGTTTGAATATCAAACTTTGAAATGAACATTTTCCGTACATTTCCAATGAAAAATATTACAGGAATTAAATATTCCAGGAAAATCTCACAAAATTTGCTGCACCTTTTGTTCAAAGACTTGATATAATGGTACAATTGATGAATTTTCATAAATTTTGAATGAGAATTCGCCGAATTCTTTGATAAAAATTTTCGGGAAAATGGTCGGAAAAAGAAGAGCCTTGTAATAGTAGGGCCCTACGGCAGTACCTTGGAACAAAAGAAGGGTCGGGCCTTCTAATACAGGTTTTACGGTAACCATACTAGTAAAATTCCGGGCCGGCCCGCCAAAGCCCGGACCCGGGCCGGGCCTGAGGAAATTTTCAAGGAACGGTAGCAAAAATTTTGTCATTTTGAGCTCTCAATACAATTTTCTCCATTATTTTTTGTGTTTTTGGATTGTTTGTCTGTTTGATCAAAAAATATCAACAAAACTCGAAAAAAAATTTTTGATCGAAAAAAATCACATAAGGGTCCCCCTTATGTTTTTTGAAATTTTCAAAACTTGTGAAATGACAGGCCCGCCGGGCCGGGCCTCCGAAATTCGGGAAAAGGCCAGGCCCGGCCCGGCCCGTTGTATGACGGTAACTGATTTTCGATGTACAAGAATAAAACAAAAGTTCGTAAAACACATTGTACATTTTTCATATGGCAGACAAATCATGTCATTTGTCAAATGGCGTTAAGAATCGCGCATTTCTTTCTCTCATCGAAAACGAAAATCTTCTATGTTTTTTTTTCATTTCGGATGGATCGAGAAACCTGTCTAGCTGATACCGTGTGATTTAGTATCCGTAGACAACTAGGGTAATAATTCCAAATGTCTCAAAGTGAATATCTTCTCTGAATTTTTTTCTCTTTTCATTTAACAACGTCTCCATGCTATCGCTCACACAAACTTCCTCCATAAATCTCTACGTTTTCAATCTCGGCTACCCGAGACAATTTTCCCAGAAAAAAACTCATAATTTTTCGCGTCCATTCGGAAAGTTTTATCACCACCACCACACGACTGCTACCACACAACCCAAAAGCCCCACAAACTAATCTAATTCTAGAAGCCAGGAGCCAATCAAAGCAATAAAATCGAATTGGATCGTTGAGGAAAGCCAAAGTAACGACTGTCCCCTAATCTACTCTCTCACTTTGCCCCGTATAATTTATGACAGTCAATCAGGCTTTCGACGGGCGGCGCGCGCGTGCTCAGATTTATGTGTACGAAAACTTGGAGAAATCAAGTTTAGAAAAAATGTAAAACTAAAACTACTTTTTTAAGGGGAACTGGAAATCTGAATAATCACTAGGTTTACTGATTGTTTACCAGGAATCTAGAAGATATTGTTATTGAATTACAATGATGGTCCTTTGGGAGATTCTCCTCTGTTTTTAATAACGAAAGAGTATTCCAAAATATATCAAAATCCCATAAAAAAAACTTAAATTTGAGAACCCCTTAATGGGATGCCACAATTTTTCAGAATTTATACAAGGAGGGCCCTAAATTAGGTGAGAATGATGAGCAGGAAATGCAGGTGGCTAATTATGGAGGACTCCTTCTAGGGCTAATATGCTAAACAGGTAATTGTATTCCACAGACTTAAATATGTGCTTACAAGGGTACGGAATATTTTAAAGGAATAGTACAAAACCTAGTACTTTGGAGTTCTGCCATTTCTTACTATTAGGGAGAGACTTTAGGACTTTCAATCAGAAGCACAAGGAAACGTGGAAAAAAGGTTCCTGGACAATTGTCAAAGGGATCTCACAAGAGTTCTACACCATTGAGTGACACAACAAGTAAGCAAGGTCACAAACATCCTTGTAATCTTCTAGAAATGGACCAGAGTGAATGGACAAAGTTCTTGGAACTTTTGTATCAAGGTGTAGGACAAGTGGTACTTGAGTAGTGGGTATTAGTGACTTCTTGAGTGGTGCCTTCCCCGCATCTTCAAACTATATCGAATACGGTCATTGTATTGGGTTAAGGAAAAGTGGGAGATTGTAATCAGACACCTGTTAATCCGCTTATCTAGCAGAAGCAAGCATAAGGAGTCGACAAATGAGGGAAAATAAGAAGTTTGCAAACAAAGTTTCGTTAGGAGTACGGTAGACGATGCAAACAATTATGTAGGGGCTCATTGGAAAAAGTTGTTTTTCGACAAGTCGTGAAAGTTTTCAAAGAAACTTCACAAGCATCTTTGACACTAAAGCTCACATACCGTCAAACCTGTATTAGAAGGGCCCTCCGAGAAGGGTTCGGAAAAATAGAAGAGCCTCTGTAATAAAGATGTCCCTTGAAACATATTGTTGTTTAAAATCCAAATTGTTTGTGTGTTTTCAATGAATTCTTCGGAGGGCTCTTCTAATACAGGTTGGACGGTATGTGAGCTTTAGTGTCAAAGATGCTTGTGAAGTTTCTTTGAAAACTTTCACGACTTGTCGGAAAACAAATTTTGCCAATGAGCTTCTACATAATTGTTTGTATCGTCTACCGTACTCCTGACGAATCAGGGACTACACAATTTCACAGAAGTTTGTGGGAACTCTTTCTTTACTCAAACAATTTCTCTGTGAAACTGACAGTTTTCCATAAATTGTGATCGAGAATTCACCACATTTTTTGATGTGAACTCTTGGAAAAAAAAATTGCCGGAAAAACAGAAGGGCCCCCTCTATGAAGGGCTTCTGTAATAGAAGGACCCTCCTGACAATGTAGCTTACAATAGAAGCTCTTCTAATACCGGCTCTTCTAATACAGGTAATACAGGTTTTACGGTACTTCCAAACTAAAGATTAACATAGAAAAAAAAAATGGTATTCTAGTTTACATAACATGCTGGCCCAAAATGGAGACAAGAAGACAGGCAAATCAAATGAATATCAAAGTTTCCAAGCCATAAACTGGACAATAAAATTTTCAGATAAAGCAAAAACCATCGAAGAATGGGAAAGAAACAGAATGACCTAAATAAAACAAAAGGAATAGTTGTTTGACACTTATCGTATCACCTCTTGATTCAGCAATTAATAACCATAAACCTGGATCGAAAGATAACAATTCGGGGGGAAGGTGAAAGAAGAGAAATTAATAGATTTATGGCAGAAAGGATACTGTAGAAAGATGGATACCCCACAAAAAGTTATTCTTTCTTCTTTTCCCAACAAAAGACGGCCATAACAGGTTCATAGTATTTCTTATCTATTTACAGCCAGGTCGTAAATAATGATATTTCTCTCATTATCGCTCTGCTGAGAGTAAAAACGGGGTGAAAATGACGATTAGTTCGGTCTGAATGGTAATAAAATTTTCCGAAATATTTTCCGCCCACAAACACACACTTTTTTCTTTTTTTTTCGTTTGGCTCAATAAGAGCGGTCGCCAGAAGAGTATCATTTTTCGCATCACATTTACATTAAAATGACACTACTCTTCTGTGTTTTGAATAGAGAATAAATGTGAATATGGATGGAAAGTGTATGGAAATGAAATTGGTACCGTGTGAAAAATTTTGAATTCCATAGAGAAGAAGAGCATTTCGAATAGATTTTGACCATGTCGAAATGTGGGTGAACAGGTGAAGTGAGAAATCGTTTCTTCGGAAAATAAAATACACCTGACCCATGCTTTGAGGAATCACTGAAAACCGTCGAATGTACTCGAGACCAAACGATTCAGGAAATACTTTTCAGACTATGTGATTTTTGAGATTTCCGAGATTCTGGATAGAAACAATCCAAAGAAATTAGGTGTCTCCCAATAAAAACATTTTTCAAAATACTACATATGGGAATTGTACAACAGACAAAAAATGAGAAGAATGATACGCTGAAAAATAAAATGACTGAATATGGCTTTCTTGGAAATCATGCGACTTCTAATTATCGTGAATTGGTTGACCGTCTTTATGTCTACTGTAATTCTGAAAATGGGTCGCCAGCAATAAGTTTGTTTCTTCTGAAGAATTACAGTCAACAAAAGGACATCAAAACCTATTATTGCTTGACATTTCCTTTCTTGTTGTAAATTTAAATTGTGATATTTTTGGGATCTTTGAATATCTTGGAATTTTGTCTTCTCCCCATAGAATAATTTAAACGAAAATACATAAATAAATCTTTACACATCTCTAACAACTTGAAATGACTTATAATCTCAAACCAAAGAAAAGTTTAAAAAATCGAGATGCTTCATCATGTCTCTGGATGTTCGCTGGATCTTTTCAATTACCGTATTTCTTCTGATGGCAGCTCACCCAAACCGTCATCTTTGTGCTCAATTATTTCGATTTCTGTAAAAAAATATTGGAAATTAGTCAACTGATACTTATCATAATATCACCAATATTTTATCTGTTGACAAAATTTTGATAACTTTCACAGTAATCGAAATAATTGATCTCAAAGTAGAAGGTTTGAGTGGACTTCCATTAGAGGAAATACGGTATCACAATCACGACATTTTTCATTACAGGAGTTTTCAGTAACGGTTTCTTTAAGCACTTCCGAGATACGACAACAACGCATTTCTATTTTCTTCATCAAATAATTTACATATCATCTCCCATAAAAACATTGATTTCCGAGTGATCCAACACTTGGAAAATCCGGACTCCTAGACTAGGAGTCCTAGTGCTGGATATTCGGCTATTTTAGCAGAGCGAATAATTTTGGTAGGTACACATGCTTTGACATAATCGAGAAAGCCATTATCATTAAATTACAGTGTTATTGTACTGCTAAATTGTTTATTTCAATGGAATCATAAAAAAATCTCGAGCAAACAAATTGGTCATTCTTCTTTATCATGAGAAGACGATGATGATTTTTTCAAGTTCTCACATTCTCGACTTCTCTTCATTACCGGAGGATTATCAGTTAGAGCCTCTTTACTCGGTTTCCCCGCGGTCGCCATCAATTCCCTACTTGGTTTTCGCTCAGCCAACACATCCCTGCTCGGTTTTTTCTCCGCCAAAGCATCTCGACTTGGTTTTTTCTCAGCAATAGCTTCTCTACTAGGCTTCTTTTCTGTCACATTTTCTTTGCTTGGTCTCTTGACTTCCTTCTGGGCTGGACTCTGTGATATTTTCATTTGGATGATTTCGATTCTCTGGAATTTCTAGCAAGTTATGAATTTATTCTGATATAGATCTCACCGCAGTTCCGACCGAGTCCAGATCAGAAGAAGATGGGTTTGAAGGCTGAGTTGACATAACTTCCAGTTCATCTTCCTGAAAACATTCCTCAATTTTTGAAATTTTCAAAAAGTTTACCTCATGTTTTTCAAGTGAAATCTTCTTTCTGGATTTTCTGGATTCTTCCTTCTTAACTGTTTCCGTCGATCTTTTCTTTGCTTTCTTCCGTTTCTCTGCTTTTCCAGGAGTTTGAAGCTTCTCGGTGTTTCTTATCGATTTCCGTCTTGTTCTTTCAGTCGGACTTGGAGATGCAGATGCTGGTGAATTTGCTGGTGATGACGATTTATGAACATCAGAACTCCGTTCGGAATTCGTCAAACCAGTGAGAATTGTGACCGTATGTTCAACTCGAGGCGCTTTTTTTTTCTTGGCACAACATTGGAGTATTGTAATGGAAACAAAGAGAGCAATGTAGAGATTTGTGAGCCTAGAAATATGATTTTGAAAGGGCGGAGAGGCGGAAGAAAATGTACCCGAAAAAGGTGTCCAAATCCATCGAATGCTTGAAATTACAAAATAATGAAAATTTATTTACGAGGGCAGAAATCTAGAAATTACATTTGAAGATGTGAGAACGACGATAAAACCTACTGTTGTCTGTGAGAATTTAAAAAATGAGTTGGACTATAAATTTAGTTCGAAGATCAGATTTTCTGATAAGCAACGTGCTTTTTGACACATAAAAACAAAAGTGTTCATGTTTCACAAATGACCTAATTTCGATGCCCGGGAGATTTTGCAACTGTAATGGAAAGTTTTCAGATTACAACTATTTTTTTTAGAAAATTTAAAAAAAAACTTGTTTTCGAAGCTCAGAATGTGTTTCTATCAGAAAATGCATATTTTAAATCGACGTTTGTAGTTGGAAACCTTGTCATGCGCCAGTATTACCCCGGTTGTGAAATGTTCCGGAGCCATTTTCTTCATTTTGATCAATCAACTTGACCCGGAATATATTTCAACATGATTCAATTTGATTTCAAAGCTACAGTTCTCGAAAAAAAATGCCGAAATCCATCAAATTTTTTATATTCGATTGCTTGGAACACTATAAAGTGTTAACCCGAGAATGCCAGAATTTTTTTGGTCCACAGCTGCTGTTTAATTTTTGCCCATTTAATAAAAATTTTTTGAGGTTTATTAATTTCTAGCAAAGAATTCAATAAAATAAGAAGTGAGGACTTCTTTTTTTCCTTTTTTGTTCCGACTAAATCTTATTCATTCTCTCTGATTTCAATCTCCTGAATCCCTTTTTCTCGGAAACCGACGACATACCTATAATACCCTTTTGGATGGAATGTTTATCACAATACAATCTTGTCTCTTCTTTTCTCAACGTCTTCAACATTTTTATCGCTCCCGGCGTTCATATTCTCCTCTCCCTATCCGCCCGTCTCACACGGCATGGTTCCACACCTATCATTACGATACAATGTCTAGAAGAAGAAGTTGATGAAACGAACGAAGACGTCATGTGGATCTTCGGAACGTGTCACTTCATATTTCCGGATCCGTCGGATTCAGATGGTTGCCCCCACAAACATAGAAAAGAGCGGGCGCGAGGCGACCTTCTATTTTTTTTTTGATATGCCATCTCACCTTCTCTGTTTCAAGGTCTTCTTATGGCAAGTCATTCCGGTGAAAACTGTTTGGTGAAAACTGTTGGTAACACCGATACCTTTCCTATCCTTCTCATGTATTTAGTAGGCACTTGTAATCGTCACAGTGAACATTTCAAGTGTGTGTTCAAATTGAGGTACACCGCACGAATTGACTGAACAAGAGAACGAAAGTTTGATTAGCTCGAGTTTTGGTAGGTGACCGAGATTTTCCGGAACTATTGAATTGAGAAATTTCACTTTTAATAGTACATTAGCGTTTTTGTCATGTCACTCATATTTAGAAATTCCCCAAGCTCCTAATTTCGCAATTTTCACTGCTCCCTCACCTTCAAATTATTTCCTTTCTTTCTAACCTCAATTTCAACTCAATTCAATTTTTGAAATCCCCCCAGATGACCCTCGCCATGATTCACCTCGGTGATCAATGACTTCTCCATTACCAAAATCCATCTTGATATTCCTCTTTTTCGGAAACACTCGCTCCGACGACAGATTTAGATTTCGGAAGATTACTATCAAACTTTTTGAGGCCACTCCTTTCCTTCTCACTTTGCAGAATCATAGTTTCCAAGTCTCCGGGAATTGAGTTCCTGAAAACAGTGCGACCGGCTCACCGGAGAAGGACTATTTGAACGGAAAGGGCTTTGAGAGGGAGAGAGTCCCCTCAGAACTAGTCAATTGTAATTATACAATGTGCACCTGAATAACAACCACGCCTTGCAGTTGAAAAAGCGACGCATTCCAAATTTTGAATAGAAAGGATTTAGTTGGTTAAAGTTTATTCCTAATTTTCGAATCTCTTATCATTCTCCATCTAGACAACTAGGCATCCATGAAAATTTTGGTTGAACCATAGTCTATAGGATTATTTTATTGGATCATCCCTCCAAATTCCGTTATTAAATAGCGTCTCCCAGGAAAGTATTTAGTAACAATTTCAAACTCTACGCCCCAACATAGTTGAAGGTCAGTTCGCTGACCTATTTTGGAATGGAAGCATCCACCTCCAAAACGAAGGAGATATTATTCAAATTCGCGAAGAAAGAGAGACACCGCCGTCACTGTCTTTGCGTCCATCTTCTGCGACAATGCCTTCGTCTTCTTCCTCTACTTCTCCTTTTCCACTTTCACTTCCTCCTGGACAATGCGCGACCACCACCACCATCCTTTTCGACTCCTTCTCCTGAATTCATCGTTCATAAGTCAATGACTCATTTATGCCACTCAAGAAGCGGCAAGGTTTTACTAACAACAACAAATGAAGAAGAGAGGCGGTGTTCCGGAGAGGGGAATTTCGAAATATGAGTGTCTTTATGTCTCCATAACAACGCAAAGCTCCCCGAGCACAATGAGCTTCCTCCACCCTCCTCATTTCGTATGCTGTTCCGTAAGCTTGTGTTGCATAAAGAGTCCATGCAAGCAGAGAGCACACTGCTCCGTAATACCTTTCCGTTGGTTTCCTTTCCTAGTTTCCACAAGCATCATGTGCTCTATTCGAACCAACCTTTCTCTGATTTAAAAAAAAATCTTACCGTTTGAATTAAAATAAACCTCACCCTCATCCCGGACATTTTCTCATTCTTCCCACCTGACCGTTTACCAGTACAACAGCAAATAACAAAGAAATTAAAACGTCATTATATCCATCGTCGTATTTTTCTTGTTCTTCTCCTCACGCTTCACAAGCTGCAATTCACCTGCCGTTTTCTCATCCCCATCTCCCTCTGCATTTGGTACTGTATCTCTCTTCTTCTAACTGTCAACAGAAGACAAATTTCAAGGTAAAACTTAGCGGGTTCTACCATTTCAATCTTCTCCTCCCCACCCTCACCTCTTTTTCCATCTGTCTATGAATGTATTCATCCCTTTTTTCTATCTTTCTCTCTTTGAATCTGTGTGTATGTGACCACCATAAAAGTTAATCGTTCGGCTATTTCTTTTTTTGAAACCAGGGGGATAGAAATCCATCCGATTAACTTAACACACATTGTCTTGTTCTATCAAGTCGTTCATCCTCATTTGAATCAGTTCTTGTTTGTGTTGTTCATGAATGCGTTAAATGGTCTACTCTCGAGAAACACCACTCCTTCTCTTATTCTCCTTCTTCATATTCCACACTTTTACCTGTTTCTGATTTCCGCTTTCGAGAACCAGTTTTCATTTTATTTTAGTTTATTTCTGTTGCATAATACATGTGACTTACTTTATTGATTTGTTTTCTTTCTTGTTTTTTCGTCTGCATTTTGAATTTTAATATCCACAGTTTGTTCCGTCTGTCTGCACCTAATTGCCGGTATAATTGATACCTTGAACACCAGACGAACGAAGAATAGTGACCCTCAAATGTTGTAAATTTGTAAAGTGTAACCAAACAAATTTACTTTAGAATATTGGTAGCTACTTTTAATCCCTAGCTTTAACTTTTTATTATTGAAATTTTAAACGGGATAAGAAAAACTGTCCTTGAATTGAAAATCCGACTGGTGTCCAGGTGTTCACAGGTGCATAGCTATTCCTAGATTTGTTGGAAATAATCTTGGATCCGTATTTTAAATTTCGAAATTTCAACTAATCGAAAATTCAATTATTCCATCAAAACTTTTCAAGCAGAACCCTGGAATTCCAATTATTAATCTCTATCTAATTTCCTTTTCCTGTCATATGAATCTCTACATTATCTTGTTTTTTCTCTTATTGTCTTCTCCGCTTCATTTCCTTCTACATATCATTTTTCATAACAGCTGCCAGCATAATTTTGATTATTATCTCATATTAGCGCAATATTAGCGCATCAGACCCCTTTTTCAGTATGAATATTGTGACTCATCTCTTCTTTATTCGAAAAGTACTACTCTATTCAAAATGTTCATTGCCTTTCTCATATCGTGCCTAACCAAACATGTCATCTTTCTTTTATTTTTCTTTTTTCAAATATTTTTATTTCCATTTTTGCAGATCATGGGTAGTACAGCAACTCAAAAGTTGCTTCTAGCACTATCAATTGTCCTGATTCTTGTTGGAATATGTCTCACATCTGCTGGTTGCTTCTCGCCAGCGTGGCAAGTGGTCGATATCCGTGAATTCCGGGCGGAGCATCAACACGGTCTATGGTGGGATTGCATTCGGGCCGAAAAACACGTCGTTTCGGTCGGAGACTTTTATGATGAGACACCACTTCATTGCATGTACAAGGTAAGGATTATCTGCGAATCGTAAAATTTGTACTTTTTTTTTGGCTTTGACTTAACGTCTAGTTTGAAAACAGTCTCTGGGAGTTACTGTAGAAAAAAGTGGATTGTAAAGTTCCATTTATGAACGGATTTATCCTTTCGAAAACGTAGAAATTCCCCCCGAAACTTGATCCCAGCTTTTCAACAAAAAAACAAAATCAAATACTTTTTCAGTTCGACAACTCTGCTGAATTGGTCATCCAAAACACATTGAACAACATTGACGAAGACGGAGCAGCTGGAGAATCAGAGCATCATAGATTCTGGGCATGGCACAAGGCTATCCTCTTCTTCATCGTCACTTCCGAATTCTTGGCATTCATCTCAATCTGTGCTGGAGTTTGTGCTCCATGTGTCCCATCTACCTCATTCGCATTCTCAATTTCCCTTTTTATTGCCAGTATGTCATATTTCAAGTTGTTTGTAGATTTTATAAAAATGTGTCTTGTTTCAGTGATCCTATCTCTGTTAGCTGATGGAGTCTTCTTCCTCGCTGCCAATCGAGTCGATAACCGATTCGTTCAAGGAATGGTTGGAACTTATGAACAAAGAATCGGTTATGCCTTCTATCTCCATTTGATGGGAACTCTCTGCTGGATCGGAGCATTCATTTGCACACTTCTCACCGTTTACAAATTTGTTGCGGGAGGTCAAGATGACGGAAGGTACGAACTGATTGATTTTTAGATGTTGTTCGAAATGGCTCATGGATCATTTTGACCATGCACGTCTTCTGTTCTTTCCCTTCTTTCTTGCTTTTCTATCCCCCTGCATTTACCCGGT